CCCACTCCCTTCTAACACTGATGGTGTTACCTACTTGGGTAATGAAATGTCTGCAAGAAAACCACCCAGCTCAGAGAGCACCGAGGGCCACGTGGCTGTACTACGTTTCTCACCGATATGTGGAAAGTCCTGCCTTTGTTCACCCAAATGCAGTAATGAGGGGGGAAGGCTGTTTTTTTTTTTTGTCCAGCCTTCTCTCCCGCGGCGCAAAACTTTCCGCGGCGCAAAGCAGAACGGTTGAGGGTGGGAGGGCTAAAGCAAACAGTTTCCCCCCCCACTCACCCACCCCCCCACCCCCTCCCACATCATCAAGGCCGTGGCTGCGCGCCAGACCCAGGCAAGCTTGGAGCAGATGGAGCCCTGGCACGGCCCCGACGGCTCCTGCATTAGCAGCATCTGCTCATTAACCAGAAATTCTTCCCTCGCTTTCTTCTAATGCTCCAGGAAAAGCATTCTGATTTGATTCATTTCGGGTAAGGCAAACGCGGAAGGCAATTAGTGGTAGGGAAAAGGGAGAGAGAAGAAGGAGAAGAAAAAAAGAAGGAAAAAAGAAGACGAATCGAACTGGATGCCTGCCAGTGCTGACAACGGGGAAACGAGGCAGGAGACGCAGAAAGATGGTCAGTTGGAATTCAAAAACATCCCAACTGTGGATTCGGCAGCCAAGGCTTCCCAGGCGTGGGTGGGTAGACGGCAGGCAAGGGAGGAAGACGCCCGCTGGCCTCGACGGTTTTCCGCCCAGCCTTTGGTTTCTTCGCAGCTGATCCTGCATGACTGAGGCCGCGGAGTCATGAAAGGGACATCGGATCACACAGCCCGGGCCCTGGCAACACCTTTTCCCAGAAAAAGGGAATTTGGGGAAGATAAGAGTAGAATAGGATAGGGCGGGGCAGGGCAGGGCAGGGCGGAGCAAAGTAGAACAGAACAGAATAGGGAGGAGGAGAAGGAGGAAGGAGAATGGACTGGACTAGAATAAACTAGAATACAATAGCAGAGTTGGAAGGGACCTTGGAGGTCTTCTAGTCCAACCCCCTGCTTAGGCAAGAAACTCTACACAACTTCAGACAAATGGTTGTTCAATCTCTTCTTAAAAACGTCCAGTGTTGGAACGTTTACAATTTCTGGAGGCAAGTTGTTCCACTGGTTAATTGTTCTGTCAGGAGTTTCTCCTTGGTTCTAGGTTGCTTCTCTCCTTGATTAGTTTCCACCCGTTGCTTCCCATCCCACCTTCTGGTGCTTGGGAGAATAGTTTGACTCCCTCTTCTTTGTGAGATATTGGAAGACGGCTGTCCTGTCCTCCCCATGCCCTTCTTTTCATCAAAGTACACATACCAAGTTCCTGCAACCGTTCTTCGTAAGTTTTAGCCTCCAGCCCCTTAATCATCCTGGATGCTCTTCTCTGCACTCTTTCCAGAGTCTCAACATGTTTTTCACATCGCGGCAACCAAAATTGGATGCAGTAGTCCAAGTGTGGCCTTACCAAAGCCTTATAAACTAGTATGAACAAGTCATGTGATCTTGATTCTATCCCTCTGTTGATGCAGCCTAGAACTGTGCTGGCTTTTTTGGGGCAGCTGCAGCACACGGCTGGCTCATATTGAAATGACTGTCCACTAGGACTCCAAGAGTGGGTGATTTGAGGCTGTTGGGGCCACCCATAACTTTCCCACTCAAGGTTCGGCAGGCCCTGAAGCTCAATTTCAGACTACGTTGCGGAAATTGAGCAGCGAATTGCTGGTTTGCAGTGGGTTTATTTTTTAATCAAATTATCCATGAAACCAGGTGTGTGAAACTCCTCCTGCAGCCTTCGGGGACCCTCCTCCTCCTCATCATTTACAAAAAGATCATCTCCTGTGGAAATGTTTAAAAAAATTCCCAGAGATGCCTGCTTGTCCACTGAAGACTAACTTTTTGCAAATTGGTGCGTTCCAAACGGACTGGACTTCAAAACTACCATCTGCGGGACCCTCATGAAAATGTCTTTTGCTGGAAAGTGATATATGTGTGTGTGTGTGTGTGTGTGTGTGTGTGTGTATGTGTCTGAGAATATTACCAGATTGAGATTGCTAATGGGAGAGGGGTGGAAATAAACGTCGATTTGCTGAATGGATAGCCAGTTAGGAAGGCCAGGATGTTACCCTGTGAAATGAGGGTTTTTTTTTTATTCCTGTTTGTTTTGTCCGCTTTTTATTCGGGTTTTATTGGTTTTTAATTGCATGCTGATAAGAGTCGGTTTTTGAGTCGAAGCGGCCTTATAAATTGAAGTCATAAATAAATAAAACGACTTAATTTAACCTTTATTGGTCTGGGATGGCAAATCAAGAAGGAAATTACATTGCATTAAATTAAATAAATGAGACTCGATGCGTCCCAGTGATGAGATGCGCCCCATCCACATATCTGCTAGAGGTGCCACATTACAACATCTGGAACACCTTCAAAAACAGTAAGATTACAATCATTTCCTATCCCCACCCCTTACTTCAAGCATTCGGTCCCTCAAGAGATTTGTTTCGAAGTCAGAGCAGCTGAGGGATTCAGGATAGCCCGTTTAGACTTTGAACGGGGGTATTTGGGGATGAAAATAGTTCACTTAGAGCATTGTGCATATTGGATCGGATCCATATTCTTCCCGATCAACATTTCTCCACCTTGACAACTTTAAGATGTGTGGACTTCAACTCCCAGAATTCCCCAGCCATGGAAGGGGAAGGCTAACAAAGGGGAGGAGAAGGGAAGAGGGAAGGGAAGGGAAGGGAAGGAATGGGATGGGAAAGGAAAGGAAAAGGAAAGGGGAAGGGAAGGAAAAAGGAAAGGGAAGAAAAAAGGAAAGGGAAAAAGGAAGGGAAGGGCAGGGAATGGAAGAAGAGATGAAGGGGAGGGGAGGAAAGGCAAGGCAGAAGAGATGAAGGGAAGGGAAAGGGAGTAAATGGATGAGAAAGAGAATAAATGAATGAGGAAGGGAAAGGGGAAGGAAGGAAGGAAGGAAGGAAGGAAGGAAGGAAGGAAGGAAGGAAAAATTAAAGGAAGAGAAGGGGAAAAAAGGAAAATGAAGGGAAGGGAAAGAAAAGGAAAGGGAATAGAGAAGGCAAGAGAAGGCAAGCAAAAAGAAAAGGGAAAGGAAAAGAAAGGAAAGGACAGGAAGAGAGACATTTGGTTTTACTATGCAATCATTGGCATTTGGAGGTAGTATTTTACTGAATGTTTTCTGTTTAATAAACTGAGAATAAGCATCACCTGCAGTCTTCTTTTAACTATTCTATTTTGAATTTTTTATATTTTTGTAGCATTTATATAGATTTAAACTTTTTAATATTGGAAGCTGCCCAGTCATCCTGTGGTAAGATGGGTGGTCCACAATTTTAACAACAACAACAACAACAACAACAATATAAATAAATAAAAGTAAATGTGTGTATGAACGGAAGAGACAGGAGACATTTTATCTCTCTAGTGCGGTATCTGGTTTGCTCTTTGTCTTACTGGGTCCTCTTTCCCTACTTCTTGAGGAAAATAAAGAAAACAAAATATATATTTAAAAAAACAAAAAAGCCCAGACAGCCCAAAACAAGCTGTTTCCTCATGACAAACTTGGCTGGGCTGCAGCCTGGCACCCGTGCCTCCAAGCTGCAGCTCCAGGAGGAATTAAACCCATCGCTTTAATGGGCACCGCGATCCAAGGCCTCCTAATGCAATGAAGGTGATCGGCCAACTTTCCCACATAAAGCCAAGTGTGAGCCCACGCACGTGCATGTGTGTGTGTGTGTTTGTGTGTACAGAGAGGATTAGAATGGCTCTCAGAAAGAAAGAGAGAAAGAAAGAAAGAAGGGGGGGGGGGAAACTGGACACAGCTGTTTCATTTCCAGAAAGCTTTTAAAAGACAATATTAGGATGGGCTCGCTGTTAACATACCGTCCTCGTACGCTGACGCAGCCAGGGAGCTGTTTATTCTCACAAAGGAGGCATGTGGCCGGGGGCCAGGCTCCACCGAGCCGTGCTCCGGTTCCAGGATGGGGGCCGAATAGTCCCAGGTGCGTGTGTCCCACAGCTTCACATCGCCCGACGTGTACCTGGAACGGAAAGCCAAGCATGAGGTCCAAGAACTGCAGGGGCCACGAGGGCGTCTGTGATGACCCGAAGGGGCGTGGCACAAAGGCCACCCAGCCAAATAATCAGTAGCCCATGGTGCTTTACAGTTAAAATCCAAAGCATAGTTTCTTGGCTTCATGTTTTCAGTTTTAAGAACCAAAGTCGTTCTCTAAAGACCGGCGTTTCTGTGGCCAACATGACACCCTCTGGATGGGTTCAGTAGAGTAGGAGAAGCGTAAGGAAGCAATGGTTCCGGAGAAGAAAATTTGCATTACGCCATTTTCCCGCACAAAATGGGCGGCATCACGTCCCAGAACCTTGCGACCTATACAGCACTCGGCCTGTTTAAGGCACAATCTGAGATGAAAGCAGCCAAGCTCCTTCGAAGGCTACGACGACAAGAGGCTATGCAGGGTGCCGGGATGGACCTGAATCCTCACGAAAAGTCGATCTGGGCCTGACACCTAATTTATGGAAGAATTGGGCCAAAATGGTTATTGAACAAGGTTGTTGTTATGGGGGGAAACAGAAGGAAGAAGGTGCGTTGGATGTGTTCGCTGACTCGAGTTTTTTGGTAAAAATAATAAAAGCTAGGGATAGAGATGGATGGATGGATGGATGGATGGATGGATGGACGGACGGACGGACAGACAGACAGGTGTATGTAGATGAGATATATATATATATATATATATATATGTAGATGATAGACAGACAGACAGACATAGTCAGATGTATGTAGATGATAGAGACAGATAGATAGATGATAGATAGATAGATGAGATAGAGATAGATAGATGATAGATAGATAGACAGACAGACAGATGTATGTAGATGATAGATAGACACAGACAGATGTATGTAGATATTTTATATATATATATATATATATATATATATATATATACACACACACACACACACACACACACACACACATGCATACATACATACATATACATATATGTAGATGACAGACAGACAGACAGACAGTCAGATGTATGTAGACAATAGATAGGTATGTAGATAGATAGATAGATAGACAGGCAGACAGACAGATATATGTAGATGATAGACAGACAGACAGACAGACAGACAGACAGACATAGACAGACATAGATAGATAGATAGATAGATAGATAGATAGATAGATAGATAGATAAGATAGATGCACGAGATACAGATGGGCGGAGGGAGGGAGGAGAGGGAGAATCAACTTATTCTCCAAAGCACCAGAAGGGAAGACAAGAAACAATGGATGGAAACTAATCAAGAGGAGAAGCAACCTGGAATTAAGGAGAAAGTACCAAACAATGAGGACAATTAACCAGTGGAACAGAAGTTGCCTTCAGAAATCGTGGGTGCTCCATCGCTGGAGGTTTTTAAGAAGAGGCTGGACAGCCACTTGTCTGAAATGGTATAGGATTTCCTGCTTAAACAGGGGGCTGGACTAGAAGACCTCCAAGGTCCCTTCCGGCTCTAGTCTGATGTGCTGGGGGGCAGGGGGGTGGAGAGGAATGAAATGCCCTCCCAGTTTGGTCAAGCATGGGAAACTGAATCCCAGCCCTTAGCATCCGGCAGCTTTTTTAAACTATTCAAACTTCAGTTCAACTTAACTAAAAGGAGAAAAGTTTGGGATAGACCTAACTTTAAGGTACAGTAAAACAAACAAAAAACAAACACTGACTTCCTGATAACATCCACCTTCCGATAGAAAGAGGAGAAACAGAGAAGCCGACAACAAAAGAAGTCTTTCGCAAGGGGCGGAAAGGCGCTGGGTGCTAGCCCAACCAAGTGGGGCTGAAGAGGCTGGCAACTCCCTGGATAACTACCCCCTCCACACCCCCACACCCCCAAAAAAAGCAACAACAAGAACAACAACAACAAAAGGACAAAGCTGCAAAAAAAGCTCGAGTGGCCATGCCAAAAACCCATCTCTCCAGGGCCTCAGATGTCCTCATCACTGCCTAATGACAACCCTACTCTGCCAATTAAAGACTCGGTGAACGTTGTTAGTCAGCTTTTGGCCCCATGACGTTGATGGCTGTCTCATTAGCGTTGGGTGCAAAAGCACAACTTTTAAATGACGCACGCGAGCTGAGAAATGCGCGGGGGAGAAAAATACACACACACACACACACACACACACACACACACACACAACTACACACACACACACACACACACACACACACACATATATATATATATATACACATACATATACATGTATGTATGTATGTATGTATGTATTTATTTATTTATTTTACCTGGCGCTCCTGAATGAAACATAGGACACAACCCTAAAAATACACGCACACCTTACACAGGTACATGACTTGATGCCCAGAGTCACTGGGGGGGGTTAGACTAGATGACCTACAATGTCCCTTCCAACTCTGCTTATCTGTTAAGAGTCACCAATACCCTAAAAAGATTTAACCACCAGAAGCCGCTAATAAATTTCAATGTTTAATATGAGAAGAAAATAAATTCACGGGGAATAATCGTGGCAACCCTATTTAATGCGTTTAATTTAATTCATGTGTCTTGTTTCTCTCCAACTTTTGAAAAAGTGGCCCCCAGCACGGCCTTAGCTGAACTAAATGCAGAAATCCACCTCAACAGCAATTATTTAAATTGTGTCCGAAGAGAAAGGGAGAGATGATGTATTTTTAACAGGCGCCTTTTATATTTTCCTCGCGTGGCCATCAAAGGCCGTGTTCTAAAGCTGCAGAGCATTTAAACAAGGAGAAGAACAGCTGAGGCTCAGCCCCGCTCAATGGGGCTATTTTACATTTGCATGTACTTCTCCCCTAATTAATATGCAAAAAGGACCGGGCAACGGGCTTCGAGAATAGCTGAGCCCAAGGCAGAAATTACCATGGGGGGGGGGGAAAAAAAAACAGCTGGAGAACTCTCTTTCATCTTGCAGATAGAACAACCCTCCCTTCTCCAAGCTGCCTGTCTCCATCCATCCAGGGAGAAGAGTCTGGATCGGGATGACGGACAGAGGGAGAAAAGTCTTGACTCTCGTCGATTAAAAAAAAAAAAACATGTTGAGACTCTAGAAAGAGTGCAGAGAAGAGCAACCAAGAGGATTAGGGGGCTGGAGGCTAAAACATATGAAGAACGGTTGCTGGAATTAGGTATGTCTAGTCTGATGAAAAGAAGGACTAAGGGTGACATGATAGCAGTCTTCCAATATTTGCCCCTTTGGTGTTGCCCCAAAGAAGAGGGAGTCAAGCTATTCTCCAAAGCACCGGAAGGCAGGACAAGAAGCAATGGGTGGCAACTAATCAAGGAGAGAAGCAACCTAGAACTAAGGAGGGATTTTCTGACAGTGAGAGCAATTAATCAGTGGAACAACTTGCCACCAGAAATTATGGATGCTCCAACACTGGAAGTTTTTAAGAAGAGCCACTTGTCTGAAATGACATAGGGTTTCCTGGCTGAGCAGGGGGTTGGACTAGAAGACCTCCACGGTCCCTTCCAACTCTGTTATTCTCTTAGTTAGGGGAAAATACGGAATGATTGAGACCTACCTTGCAACCAATAATCTGTTTTTCAATTTGAGGCGTGGAGGAGAACAGTTTGGGACTGAAGGAAGGATGGAAGGAGAACGGTCTTGGCCGGAAGCGGGAGGGAGGGAGAATGGGGTGGGGGGGTGGTCTGTATCTGAATGGCTCTCTGCTTTCTCCTCGCTTCTTCTCTGATATCGGAGACCTCCTTCTGGAGGGAGTGTGTGCATGTGTGTGTGTGTGTGTGTTTTCATTGCAAACGCTCTGCCCGGCAGTTGTTTTGTGTGTTAAAACCTTGGATTCTTTTCATTGGAGATGGCGATGTTTGTGGTTACCTCACTCCACAATCAATGCGGCGCACACACACACACACACACGCACACAACCAGCCTTTCCATGCAGGCAGGCACCTCCAAGGGGGCTTAAAGCAACAGGGTCCCTGGTCACGTGGGCCTGGGTTTCAAAACAAGACGCCACCTTCTGCCTCTCCGGTCCGCCCGCCCACCCACCCAACGGCCCCCTCCCCAAACTATAGAAAATGCTGCAAAATGCAGAGGCTTTTCAAGGACACTTTCCACTCACAAGCAATTAGCCCGCACACCGGCAGGGTTGAACTAGGGGAGGAAAATGTATCTGCAGATTGAAATTTGAGTACCTCTTTCATCCTTCCACTTTAGAGCTTAAATTCTCTTTCCTGCCTTAAGCAAACCGAGTTTTAGATTACCAGGGGGAAAAAAAGAATAGTGGCTTTGATCTGTTTCGCTCGAGTTTTTCAACACCCTCCCAGCAATGTCTAGTCACTTGATGAAAATATGTCATCCTTGTTCTTTTTTTCTCTCTCCCTCCTCTGTCTCCAGTTCTGCTCCAAAAAAAATGTATGCACGAGGCAGCCAACAGGTAAGAATGAGCAGGTGTGCGTTCAGCAATCTTATTTTTGCAAAATAACACCAAGAAGCACACTAAAGAATATAATTCAATAACAAGGAACGTATGAAAACTGAAGTCTTGCCTGCTGCTTATTTAAAATTGTGGTTTGCTTATTAATTAAACCACAGTTGGTTGCTATACGAAAAAAAGGCAAGGCATAAGCCATGATAGAACACATAAACCATGATACACCAATGTGTTTTAATTATTCATTAAACTATTCATTAAATTATCATTGAATTATTCAATAAACATTATTCATTAAACCACAGCTGATTGCTAGACAAAAAGAAGATTAGGCATAAGCCATGATTGAGCACATAAGCCATGATAGAGCACGGTGATTTAATTATTCATTACATTATTCATTACATTATCATTGAATTATTGAATAAATATTCATTGAACCACAGTTGATTGCTTTACAACAAGAAGGAAGGGCATAAGCCAAGATAGACGGGCTACAATGTATGGGTTCAAACAGGCACTAAAACACTAAAAACTGTACGAAGGCTTAAGAGCAGATCAGGTTTGCATTACTCTAAGCAATGATTAGCAGGTGACTGTGGTTGTGCAGAAAATTAGAAATAGAGGTTTAATGTGATGTGTGGGTCCACTTTAAGACTCGCTTAAGTTGTTTTCAGCCTGAGATTTTGGGCAGCTGTTGCCTAACCATAAGGGATAACAGGGGTTAGTTAGACCACTAACCGACATGGCAGCTTCGTCTGATCCAAGGCAACTGAAACATCAGTTTAATTGATTAATGGCGCTTGTGTTATCTGCGCTATTCCCCAAGGTCCACTGACTCAATCTTCATAATGGCAGCTTCAAAATACACAAATGATATCATTTGCGTTATGACATCTGCGTAATGACATCATTACCTAGAGGACATTAAGGCGGCCTTCTGCATAATGGCAACATTACCCGGAGAACGCGCCACGGAATTTCCTCCACCGTGGGCAAATCAGTGTTCAGCCAAGATCCAGAAAAGCGAGATTGCGCTATATTTCCTCTATTAAAGAAAAAAAAAAAAGCAGTTCTTGATATGGACTGTTATTTTTTTTTTCCCCGGCAAAGAAAAGAATTTCACGATACGTTCACTACTCTAGACCGCTTTGGAGTGGTGTCAAGATAGCAAGGCAGGTAGCGATTGCAATGCCCACGAGATCCTACCCTCTCGTTACGGGATTCTAAAATTAGCCCTGTTGATTCTCGACGCTCAACCACACTGCAGGTGTCACGCCACCTCTTGCTGCTAAAATAATCTCTTTATTAGGTCGTAGAAAGAGCCCTCTGCAGGATCAGATCTGTTCAATCCCGCATCCAGCCCGCAGGAGGGCCACGGGGAAGGAGAAGACCACCACCGAGAACGGGTCACAAAGAACTGGACAGTATTTTACCGCTGCAAACTTGCAATGGAAGCCCTTAACAATTTCTACCCCTTTGGCAAAAAAACATTCTTGATTTCAAGTCACTGCAGGTTTTTTAATCTTCTACCCTGTTTCCCCGAAAATATGGCCTACCCTGAAAGTAAGTCCTAGCTTGGTTTTTTTACACGTACGCCCAATATAAGCCCTACCCCCCAAAATAAGCCCTAATTAAGATTCCGCCCACTCCGGAGTGCACGGGTAAAAATTAAGCTAGAGTAGGGATGGGTGGTGGTAGAACTGCGCTACTACTAATCTTTGGACAGTTGTAGCCAGGCCTCGCACACAGGCCTCGCCGGCCCATTTCTTCTGCAGCCAGCAAGGCTGGCAAGGCTTTCCTGAAGGGCTCTGGAGCTGATAACAAAGCTCTGGATCGATCTGGAGTTTTCGGCTGTTATCGGCTGCCGAGGCCTTCAGGAAAGTCTTGCTGGCTGCAGAAGAAGAAGTTCCTGAAGGCCTCTGACAGCAAAAAGGAGGCCGGGGAGACACGTGCAAGTGAGGTTAGTCAGTGGATGACTTCCTCCCAAAAATAAGACCTGGTGCCTTTTTTGGTGGCAAAGAAATATAAGACAGGGTCTTATTTTGGGGGGAGGAACATGGTAGCAAGAGGTCTAATCCCCTTCACGCCATCAAATATTACAATGATCATTGCATGCTGACTTAGCAAATTCCCTTGGCTAAAAATATGTGCTGCGTGGTAACAGGCACTATTTCACGTATCGTCAAAATCCGCAGCTGTTCAGCTGTATTTTCTCCTAAGGCTTCAGAATGTTATTTATGCCTTCTGTACATATAGGTAGCCCTCGACTTATGGCAGTTCATTTTGGGACCATCCCAAGTTTCAACAACACTGCAAAAAGTGACTTACGACCGGTTTTCACTCGTACAACCATTGCAGCTTCCCCAGTCAGCTGCCAAGAGACTGGATTTTGATCACGTGACCCCAAGGATGCTGCAAACAGTCGTTAAGTATGACAAATGGTCATAAGTCACTTTTTGCAGGGCTGTTAAAAACTTTGACCAGTCGCTATATGAACCGTCATAAGCCGAGCACTACTAAAAACAACAACAGAATGAAAAACTGCTGGTGACCTTCTCCTGCTGCACCATAGAGAGTATCTTAACTTACTGCACCCGTGGATGGTTTGCCAATTGCACTGTGGGAGATAGGACAGCACTCCAGAGGGTTAATGTCATTGCTTCTCAGAGGATCATGGGTTGCCCTCTTCCCCTCTTTGGAAGAGCTTTAGAGCTCCCGCTGCCTTAAAGAAAGTTCAAAACATTCTCAAAGATCCATCTCATCCTGGGCACCCTTTTTATTTGAACTATTACCATCTGGCAGACAGTACAGGATAATAAAAACAAGGACAAATAGGCTGAAAAACAGCTTCCATCCCAGGGCAGGAGCTCTTTTGAATCCTATGTATAGTGCAATGTTAATGCAATATCAGGGGTTTTTCATTCAACTGTACAGAATGTGAAGGATGTGTGTTTGTGCATATTTTCATAGTCATAATGTACACTGAAGATGGTATTTAATTTCGCTGTATGAGGTGCAATGACAATAAAGTAAACTACACTAACTTTTAGCAGTATCCCGGTCAACATCCCATTTTGATTTTCACAAGGCATAAATCAATTTCCAACGTGTTTTTTTATCCTGAAAGCAAGCAAACTGGCTACTTTGGGGATTTGTTCCAAGCCAGGTCACTCACGGAAGCTGGCTTTGGCAGGGGACTGGGGAAAAATAAATAAAAAATAAATAAAAGCACACGAGACAATTGACTCTAATTCCACTTCACAAAAACGCCTTGTTAAAATGAAGTGTTGCTCTTAAACCTAGTACATTGATTTATTCGGAGGCCCGAGCCAATTTCACAACCTCCGATGACATCACCCCTTCTCTAGGCTGCCTGGTGTTGTGACTTGGGGACTGTGAAGCCGCGAAAGAGGAGGAGGGAGGCCTTCTTACACACACACACACACACACACACACACACACACGTACGTTTAAACACACCGCCCATACAGCCGTACAAGGCTAAGAGTAAGGGGATTAGCGATTATCCTTGGGGGGAACCATTCTTGAAATTCCCTACTGTTTTTAGCCCAGAAATAAGGCTAATGAGGTTCATGACATCTAGAGGCTGGGAGTGGGGGTGGGAAAAAAATCACCCTTTTAAAACCGAGTGCCAGGTGGTGATAAATAGAAATGATGGGCCATTACAAGTGTGTTGAAATCTCTCAATGACTCAGAAAACGCAGCACAGGGGAGATATTTAGAACCACCATGCCAGCAGCCCTGTTTCGGGCATTAAAAATCGTTTTGCCGTTAACGACTTTCGCAGCAGAGCTGGTTTCTACTTAAAAGCCACAGTGATAAGTTTGCCTCTGCTTAATAATATTTCTTTTAATGGACTTGGGGGAGGGGTGGGGGGTTAAAAAAAAAAAATCAGGATTATACAACTCCCGTCCAACAGTAGGCAACGGAGAGGGAAATTTCACATGCCAGTGAATTAAGTTCAGAAATATTATCATCGCACAGCCAGCCAGATGTTCAGGCTGGGTTTGGCATTTTGGTCTACCTATCGAGTCTTTACCCAGGACCTGGGATAGGCAAATCTGGATGTTGGACGGTGTTACAGGATGGAAGCTGTTCTAAGGAAAGCTGCCTCCTGCAATTGATGGGTGGCAAATGTGTCAATGCCACTGATGGGGTTTGAGTGGTGCTCCAGTTGAATTGGGACTGCACCCAAGGCGCCTATGACTATTGGTGCTACCCTTGCTTGCCTTTGCTACAGTCGTTCTATTTCTATTCGCAGCTCTTCGTATTTTGTTATCTTCTCCAGTTCTTTCTCTTCTCTTCTGCCACATCCACTATCCAGACTTTTTTGTTTTTCTTATCGACAATTGTTAAGTCTGAGGTGTTATCTATTATTATTGTTGTTGTTGTTGTTGTTTTGTTGTTGTTCATTATTATTAATGTTGTGGTGGCAGTTAATCTTTGATGAGATTCATAGCCTTTGGGGCTGGTTGGTAGATCAATAGCTCGAGTCCTAACCCAAGGACCTAGGAACTGTTCAGGAAGTGTCGGAGGATATAAGCTGTTCCAAGTAGGGTGGATTTTTGTAGAATCAGGGTATTCAAGTC